TACAAATAAAAAAACGGCTCGAACAAGACCTGTTTGGGCTGACGAGATTGCAGTAGTGTGGCGTCGTCGAGTGCTTTGAAATACGTTGCATCATGGGTATCACCCGATGTAGGTTTTTACTAGAATTGAGGAGTTTAGCTCCTCTGAATGAATGTCACAGAATTTCATGTTCATTTGTACCGGATGTTCTCGTTTTGATGACTAGGTTTATTTGGCCATGCCCGACGTGCAGCCGACAGAGAACTTATGTTCCACATAGCCTTTTTAACCGAACAGTGATGAAACACAACCTGCCTCGCGTGACAGACAACATTTTCCTGTGTTGATTTTCAAACGACAATTTTCGAACGGCAATGCCAAGCCATCCTTCAGAACATGACACGCGATTTCGTTGATGAAGAACGCTGCGAAATGCGAAACGTAATGCGAGTTGCAGGATTCAGTGAGTCATCAAGATTTTGAACGCATATTGCACTTCCGGGTTGATGCAGATCGGCGAGCGACTAATCTGACGCGCTTCAGGACGTCGATCGGTTAAGATGAAGCCATTCTCGTACTCTGGAACGAGTCAAGATTGACTCCTACTAGAACGATGGTGCCTTGATGCTGACTTCGTGGTCGACTCAAGACATTGACCACGAAGACTTTGTTTATACCGTCGCGGCTTACAGAAAACTAACGGAGTGAACTTCTGAGAGGCTAGCCTGCAAAATGATACCTTAATGGAGCAAGGTTGTTGTTGGTTATCTTGCGCACGACTCATTATGCCTCTTTAAGCCACGATTAAAAATCCACTGAGGAGATGGGTGGAAACGCTGCAATTCGAGTAAGAAGAAAGTTCCGCTCAAGTAACGACATGCAGGTTGGATCTTTTTAAAATTGACTCTAGCAAGAAAATGGACATTCAATATATTTAATTTACCAAATACATTAAGAATATTTTATTGATAGCATGAGACGGTCAGCCTACGTCTCCCATGGCTCTTATCCCTTCTTCTCGGCCACTCTTATCCCAAACTGATGAACCATAATACTTATCATAGCATCTTACTTCTGTACGGCTCAAAATCCGAGGGACAATGTTGTAGTCTCTCCTTTCATAAGTGTGGGCAAACTAATTTTAGACATCACACAATAGTGAACGCTTTACGGGCACCCACTTCGTCGGGAAATCTTTCCATTTCATCTTCTCATGTATGTTCTAACAAGCACAAATCTTATTCAGCGTTTTTCCTGACGTGCCCACATGGCTCATCCAGCTACTGCAAAAAACTACTGTATCCACGGCCGACGAATAACAAGCCACACTTGGTGAGGCAGTACAACAAGACCGGTATTGATGGCCTTTTGATATTTCTTACTCTTTGCAAGACATACTATGCAGCGGGGCTGCCATAGCTTTTTCGCTTGAGTAAATTTGGTTAGGGTCGGCGAACTTCGTGCTATAATTAGAACCAGTCCGAGTTTAGCGGATCATAATCCACTTACTCCAAGAGTAATTACAACCTTGACCCAAGATCTATTAATCCTTCCGTTTCAAATGTAAACTGTATTTCTTGGTTTAATTTGTGGCAAAGCCGCCTATATCTAAATCTATAGGTTGTTCAATCGATATTGTAAAACGTAATTAAATGAATAACTACTGGCTGTCCCAGCCACGTACAGACTCCTTGATTAAGTGTAGCCACACCATTGTGTGGTCACATCACCTTGTGTGACCACATCATCTTGTGTGACCCACACCCTTCATACCAAGGGCACGTGAAACCCCGTTACATACTACGGAATAGCTCCGGGCTCATGGCATTCTCAGCGCTCCCTTCCAATTTTGAATGTGTTGCGCTTCCTTTGCATATGCATGTGCGCCATCCGTCAAAAAGAGAAAAAAGAGCGCGTTCAACTTACTTATCTTACCACTAATCAAGCAGCAGCAGGCAAATAAATTCATACCTTCCATAAAATGATCCGGGCGCCGGCAAAGATGCTGAAAGGTATTGTAATCAACTTGCATACTGAGGGAAGAACCATGTCATCTCACACACCTCCTGGTCTAGAATTTGATTGTGCTCGGCGGTTCTAATTTTGAACTGTTTCTAAATGACTAATCTTGTGATTTTGAATCTCGAAGGGTCGTAAGATTCTCTTGGTGAGATGGATAGATTACTCATCGAGCGAAAATACGTAGGAGCTTTGCAGTCGACTTCTTTGCGTCTGTTGCGATATTGCTCCCTCATTTAACGCAGATTCAAAAACAGACTCCGCATAGGGAACCTTCTCTTCACTGTCATCTCGACATCTTCTCTATCACGGCAATAAACACTTTAGATTGTACTGTCGAACATATCGCACACTACGTATCCGTGTAGACTCAACTCGATCCGCAAGCTTTTTTACACCAGGCCGACGTTTAAATAACAGCCGTTAAGCTAACCTGCAGTATAAAAAAGAGTACTCAATGATCTTCTTCTTCCTTCCGAACGCAGTTAAAAGCCACATTCGGGAAGCAGAATGGAAATATGGGTAGTACCGCTGAAAGTATTACATAACCACTTTTCAGCAACACATTGCTTCCTTGGGTAGTTACGATGCGCCAGAGTCAAACAAGACTCTAAACGTACGACCGTTACCCTTCATACGCGATGTGACCGCGAGTAGGCCACTTTGTCTCGTGTCGCTAACAAAGGACAGCGAGACAGCAGAAACTACATGTGTAGAAAGGTTTCTAGCAATTAATAAAACCATGTCTGCGACATCAATGTTTTCAACATTTCTTCTTCCTCTTCCGTCTGCATATTCCTTCTGCATATCTTGGCTTTCAGACATCGCATCGCGAACGTGTCGTAAGACACTCAATCTGGTAGACAGGAAGTCTCCAACTTCTTTACGGACAGTAAGGGGGCTGACATCAGCCAACCGTTTGGCTCGTCCCCCCACCAAGCCCTGAGCCATGGAGTGGCGGCGTCAGCGGGACAAGAGGATTAACAAGCCCGTTCACGTAGAACCGCGTGTAGCCGGTAGATGAATGCACTGCATTGTTCAGTGCGAAATCTACGTGTTGTAACATAGAACTCCAGCGCTTTAGCGTCTCAGCGCAGACGCTACGAAGAGCGTCTACAATAACGCGATTCACGTGCTCAGCCTGACCATCGATCTGTGGATGGTCCGCTGCTGACATATTTAATTTGGTGCCCAGCACCTTGAAGATTAACCCAGCTGTCAGCGCGATTTGCAAACGTAACGTGCCCGGGGAGAGGAACGCAACGTCCAATGACCTCTCATATCAAAGATCCATGGCTTCACGCACTTGTTCCATGAATAAGGTAGCGGGCCTCTGACATTAACGGCATCTCTGCTGATGAGCGACGGTAGGCGAACTCGCGCCAGCGAGTCGTTTTGGGCTCCGCGGTTTTTCAGTACTCAGTCAAGCCTTATGAAGCTTTCCACGGGTCTCTGACGCTCTTGTGATAAGTGATCAGTTAATTCTCCCTCCTGATCCTCACGTGTAAGATAATTCTGAAAAAACAAGTCTCGCCGATTGAGCCCCGGCGGTTACAACCTTATAAATGTCATAGACCCTCATGAACAAGCAGATGTTTGTCCTGAAACAAGTTGGACGGCGAGCAAGTGGTCGGACCACCGTGAAGTTCCTTACGCATCTATGTCTCAGTCATGCTGTGCCACTTTAAAGTTCTCTGCGAAGTTCATCGATGCACTTCGTCACACGAAAACAGTGACACACAGCAGCGAGAAGACCATTCACATAATTCACATAATCAGGATTCCATCATCGTATCAGCTGTTGTACTCGCCGACTGAAACGTGACCACACCACCAATCGAAATCGACAACGCCTGCGTTTTCACTAAATCAAGGTGCTACGGCTGAGTGGTTCGGATGTCATCGTGAGCCCTCTTATTGCGTTAGTCAAGGCTCTGCAGGCAAATAAACTACTCATATTGTGTGGTCCTGTCTCTCTGTACATGCTTCGTACACCCAAGTCAAACGATAGTGTACTCGGCTGGGTCTTTGGTCAATCACGACAGTGCCACCTCCAAGTTTTGTTTCACGGCCATATTTAATTTGTGTTTGCAGCGCGAACCGCTGCACGTTAAGGAGATCGTCCCTATCAGATAGTATCACAACCAAACAATGAAACGCGCTGACAGGTCGGGTCCCAGCGCTCCCGATTGCGTGGCAGCAACTTGTGCTGGGCCGATAAACTGGTGGAGCTGTGGTGCGGATCGCACCACCTGCAGGAAACAGAGACGCTGTAGTCTGTGCCCGTCTCAACAGGTGAAACTCGTCGTAGAAACGTATACATTTCAGAAATATAGTCAAGAAAATCGTCGTCATTGAGCAAGCGAAGATCAGTAGCAACAACCCTAGCACATGCAAGTCAGTCTGCAGTTAACTAGCTGATCGCTCCATTGATGACAAAGCAAAGATTCTCATGTATACTGACTTTCCTACTTTATCTGAGGGGTAGTATCCCTTCGAAAGTTTTAAGCTGTGAAACGATGGAGTGGCAAGTCCTAGTGGATAAGCTGATAAAGCGATGAACAAAAAGTGATCAACACATCGTTAAATGTTAGACTTTCTTCAAAGCATTCTCTTTAAGGAACGCTTGAGCCATTAGACTCATTATACTCATGAGCCATAACTAGAGTTCTCATGAGGTGGTATCCACCACGGCGATGATAGCAATGGAAACATTCTGGTGTGCTTTCTCTAGTGAACGGTTTTCAGCGCGTATCTTGCGATGCGTGCTATACCACCTGCGCAGTTCATTTGATAGAAAAGTCAATTACGTATTGACTTTGCAAGCTTTAAACTTAAAATAGTTTAACATTTTGGCAAAAGCTGTCCGAAATGACAAAATTTGGTATTCTGTGTGTACCACATTTTTTCATATTATTAATGAGGCCCGTTATCAAAAATTATTTCGCGAAAGGCGCCACGGCGGTACCTCCAAGCCATAGCAATCCTAACCAGCACTGGCAATGGTAAAGTCTTTGTACGTGTCTATTCTTTGCTCAAGCCTTCTCTACTATTGTAGACTTGCTTCAGGCCTGAGAGTTTTTAATGTTCACAAACTTGAATGAAATTTGTGGCCCTAACTGCCCGACATATTTCTCATATTTGTAGCTAACAAGGGAAAATTTATCACATGAAGTAGCGCAACGAGTAGCTCGTGAGCTCCGTAAACTTGTCATGCAGCCATTAGATGGCATTCGGTACCTTCCACATGACAAAGAGCAGCTAAGCGAAATTTACGCGGAAATTCGTGGACCGGAGGATACGCCATACCAAGGAGGTTTCTTTAAACTTCGGCTCACACTTGCCGAGAATTTTCCCCAACAGCCGCCACGCGGCGTATTTTTAACAAAAATATTCCATCCCAATGTTTCCCAGCCAGCGGGCGACATTTGCGTCAACACACTGAAAAAGGACTGGAAGGCATCCCTTGGTCTGGCCCATGTGCTGCAAGTGATTCGGTGTTTACTGATCGTACCATTTCCGGAATCGTCACTTAATGAGGAGGCGGGAAAGTTATTTTTGGACAGTTATGATGAGTATGCACGTCGTGCCAAGCTATGGACAAGCATTCACGCTCCAAAACGATCCGCTTTGGATAAGGAGATGAATGAGACGAGTAAAGAAGAGAGTTTTGACAACGATCAAAACAGTAACAACAATGAACTCAAACGATCTGCAGACCAAAGCGTTAATTTAACCAGCAAAAAGGAAATTACGCTGTCGACGCCTATGAAGAAAATGAAGATACAGAGTAATGTGGAAAATTCGCTACGAAAGATGGTCAAGAAGAAAGCAGTCAAGCGTTTGTAACTCAATTAATCTTTTGACGTAACCAAGTTTGTTGTAATACTTTGTCATTTTCGTTTCTAGTAAGTCAGAATAGTAGATGGAAAAGTATGGTGTTTAGGCCTCCGCAAGGTACATTCGCTGCTAGTTGATCAACGATTCTCAAAAACAAATGATAAACCAATCAGTTAACCATTTCTCTACTATTAAGCGCATCAATGTGCGACTCACTGACAAGATCCATTGACAATGCACTACACAGTGATTGATCGCTTACAAACCCGACAAACGAGTCTTTTCCTATGCCAACAAGCAGGACACAATTTCAGTAGTAGGACACAACGTTTCGTATGCTAACATGTTCTTCGCGTAATCAAAATGTTTTTTCTTCAAATTGCGAAGTCCCCAATTAATAGTGAATAATACATCTCACACAAGCATCACTCATGACTTATTACTTTGAGTGCACTGACAACAGTGGCGATATGCTCTATGCTCAGTAAAATATCTCAATACGTAACATCTCGCCTCATGTAACCATTCACATTACCGAACTTCTCTTTCATGATCCTGCTTGGATCCAAATGACTTCATCACTTGTCTGCAAGCATTAGCAGTTGCGTCTAGCTTTTCCCGTGCCGCATTGTCAAGTAGTTGTACGACAACAGCATAGATGTTATCCACATCAACTGACGCACGAAGAGTTTTAACGCTGAGCAGCACTTCAAGCAATTCGAGTGTAGCAACGACGAGATCTTCATCCTCTTCGTATAGCGGCCATCGAACCAGCGGTTCATGCAGCGTCTCAGAGATTGTACGTGGATGTGCTATGCAATACGATGCCACATGCTCAAGCAACTTTTGATCTGTTCGGACCAATCCATTGAGAATCATCAAAGAATGCACATTCTCCGACGATACAACTGGATTAAACAAAAAACTGATAAAGTCGCTAATCCACGGGTGGTTCTCAACCTATGAGTATTATAACATCAGAGACTTCTCAGTAGATATAAAAGCATGAACATACCATAAATTCATCACTTTGAACGCATCCGATCAAAACAGTCGCGACAGCTTCAGTACGAAGACGCAGAAACTTTCCCCACTGTGACCCATCCAGCATCGATGGTATTAATGGCAATACAAGTTTGTTTGCCATCAGATGAATATCTTGGCGACACGCTGCTGCAATGCGTGTAAGACCTGACACAATTCGATTGACTGTAGACTGAGAGTATCGATCTAGTTGGTTAATTGCCTCACAAAGTGTTTCGACAGCAAGCTGACAGCCCGACGTGTACTCGATTCGTGCTTCCGGGATGGAAGACGCGCGTAAAATTACCAATACATCGCCATATACTCGTGGATCAGCAAGCGTGCCAGCGACATTGTGTAAGAAATCGATTTGACACAAAAGCAAATTGGCTGCGTCGGGGTGGTGAAGCCAGGCGAGAAAAGCTTCGACGAGGGTATGACGAATCGTAGAACATGCTGCTTTTGCACTGCGTCGTTCGACAGAATTCGTTTTCGGAAACGATTTAAGAGCAGACTGTAATACAGACACAATGTCAAACGATACATCAATCCTGTTTACTCTTCCATTTGCGTACCTCAAGTCGAGACATAATCGTACTCATGACCTGAAAAGTATCTTCAAGCGTGATAGGAGAAAGTTTATGCTGAAACAAACAAATATCTCGGATCGTCTCAAGCAAAGAGTTGACAAAGTCAAAATCACCGAGTACTGTAAACTCTGCATCATTCAACCTACAGCAGCAATTTTTGCGAGTTTAGCGTAGCCAATCTCGACACCAAAGTAGTTGTGACGTACGCATTGGTTACTTCATGTAAGGGGGTAGTGTCACTATTTACGACAAGATCAACGGTAGAGTCACATGCAACGACTCGATAAACCACAGCCAGTGCCTGAGCTGCAACAATCCGTCGTGTATCCACTGCCAACCACCCACAAAACACTTTGCAGCATTCTTTCTCTAGGTTGAACGCTCTACTTGCCATCAGCTTTTCCTCGTCATCGTCCACACGAGCAATTTTACTTGTAGACGTGAACATGGCATTGTCAATAGCTGATTTCACTTCTTCCGCTTCCATTTCCTCAACAAACGTCGGTAAGGACAATAATGCAAATGCATTGGGCACTGTGAACGGGTACCTGGCTTCCAAAAGCACCGCAGCTGTTGCAGCCAATTCTACTTTGACTACATCAGCTACTACCAGTTCAACTTCACTAGTATCCACCTTTGTCAAAAGCTGCAGCAGTAATGTCAATATATCGTCACATATGATGTCACGAGCTGCTACGTGTGTTTGCAAAGCAACTGCTACAAATTCGCACAAGGGACGCAATAGTGTATTCATTCGATGTGCCAATTGTTCTGTCCCAATACTTTCGCCTTTATAAAGTGTTTCGAGCCACCGCAACTGCTTTAATACGTCGGTTATTGATACTTGATTGCTAAATGATTCGAGCACTCGTGTAGTTCCCATTAATGCCACTGCTTTTAGTTCGTAAAAACATTTGTGCGTCCAGACTGGATACTGCAATACCTTGTCGAATGCTTTGCGATATTGTTGCAATAATGGTAACATTGCTTGCTTCTCAGTCACATAGCGAATAGTCTACATCAACTCGTCATCATGTCAATATACATTTGAATATAAAAATGATTGATACATACAAGTGATGCTGCAGAGAGCAAGGTACCCAATTCCACTTCATGGTCGTGGGAAAGAGGCTCATTATCGGGTGGAAACGGTAGATACTCATCAATAGCGTCGTTCAGCTCCTCGATCACTTGCTGGACGAAAATGAGAGTAGCATCAACTCCAATACTTGTGGAATGCACGCACTCTTGTATGTAGGCTAAGGAGAACGATGCAAATGCATAGTATAATTAGAAGAGCATTAAATGTGTTCCTATTTAACGTAAGCCTACTGGTAACGCCTCCTGATTGAGGATCTAGTAGAGCGCGTGCTAGATCGCGCTGCATGCGGTGCGACGTGGTCATATCGGAGCTGATACCGCGAGATGCCACGCGTACCGGTATGCAAGAAACACCCACGTCGTATACATATTTAAGCTGTGACATGAACCAGACGCTTTCATGTCGCGGAACTGTTCGACGGAAATTCGTGAACAATGTCATAGATTCTGGAGCAGCTTCAAGTGCCGCGTAGGCATCTGGTTACAGTTTGATTATGCGGATGAATGTGGTCACATCTGATGATAACCTTCCGTCGAACCCGATCGAAATGAGCATGTCGGCCGATTGTAAATACTTTTAATGTAGTACCTTACAGACAGTACTAATGTAGATGTCCCTCGTAGTATATATATAGCGCATGTATTAAATTCATACCTGCACTGACGACATCGCTGAATCGTGCATAGTGTTCCTGTAATAGTGTTTAAGAGAATTGATGTCTGCACGCAATGGTTATGTCATTTAGAACCGAAAATTGACGGGAGATTGCATCATTGCTAGCCTACAGATCCTTATGGTGTAACTGTTTTTTCGAAGAATTGGTCCACCGCTTGGTGGACCTGGCTACCTGAGAGTCCTCAGCACTTGATCAAATCTTTTGACTTGATTTTCGGCAGAATCCATACTGCTGGCATCTACAAAAACAAACCAGCTGCGTTACGTGACAGGCACTTGTGCAATGTACGGCCATTGAAGCCCAGGTGCTGGCACGAAATTACAGTGTTGAACCATGTTTATGCATCTCAATGTCGCTCCTCCCACCAGGTGTTCCTCGCGTATCACCTGCGATAATGGCGGTATTATTGATACATCCCACCCAGTGCCACACTTTAAATATTATGATAAATTCGAAAATACGTTCAAGCCACTGACTGTCTTGTCTGCCACAACGTATTCTGGCTCACTTGCGTGATATTTAGAAACTTTTCCCGAGACTGTCAATACATGCCCATAATATTCAAAAGGATTAAAATGAGGACTAGAAGTGTCGTTAATGACAGAACATTAAAAAAAAATCTCTGTGGATTCAAAGCTTTCCGCGTCAATGGTACTATCAGTCTTTCCGTCTAGATATATTCCCATCGATACCATACCAGTTTGAAAATCAAAGACTGCATCAGATAGTACAGTCCGTCATCGTAATGTCTTGGACATCTATTCAGTTAATTTGTGTGCCTGCAAAGCCTATTTCCGTCTTTATGTCAAAGTCTGACAATCTTTCGTCCCAACCTTTTGGGCTTGACGTTTTTCAAATCGGCGATGTAGCCAATTTGACTGTGCAAAAAGTGGACTTTAGTCAGCAAAACGAAAACAAAACGGGAAAATAGATCATGTCTCGACGCAGCATCGATTCGAAAGGGGGACCGACTTCACCATCACATTCGAAACTAAGCACGTAGGCAGAGAGTAAAGTTATGGCATCAGAAGACAGCGAAACGATTGAAGGAGAAGTTACGGAGCCTCATCCACTACGAATCTGTGTCATGGCTCCTGCCTCTACTGAACCCGATAGCTTGGACACTCCCGAGAGCTCTGAACGAAACAAGCGACCACGGCGTGAAGAGGCTGCGCTGTTTTTGGAAAAAACATACGAATTGTTGGAGCGCTGTCCATCAGATGTTGCGAGCTGGACGATTAAAGGCGATAGCTTTGTAGTCAAACAGCCTGCAGTCTTTGCGGAGCATGTGATTCCGACCTACTTTAAACATCGCAAATTCAGCTCGTTTGTACGTCAATTAAATCTCTATGGCTTTCGCAAGGTGCGTGCCACGTCGGCATCAGCTTTGATTGACGATATAGAGACTGGAGTGGAAGAAGATGCAAGTCCAAAAGACTGGTGGGAATTTCGTCATGAACGATTTGTCAGAGGTCGAAGGGATCTGCTCTGTGAGATAAGAAGACGTTCTCCGAGTGATACAAGGGTGTCGACACCGCTCGGGATTGGAATTCCCGTAGAACGTGTCGAGTTTGACGAGCTACGGGTTGAAGTGAGCGGCTTACGTGAGGAGATGCAAAAGATACAGCGCACGAATGAGCACCTGACAAGCTTACTGCAGAATTTATTACAGCGATTCAGTAGATCTGAGCCTGATGGTGGCTTTAATTCGAGCCGTCAAGAATTCAATCAGACACCAAACTTTGGCACATCGCCTTCAGTAGCTCGAAGTCAACACAGACCGCTTCCATCTATAACATTACCAAGTCCAACAGCTAATTCTAGTCTCACTGGTCCTCAACAAGCTTTACTACAGCTACGTCAGGGACTTCAGCCTCCCAGTACTCCGCGTGATATCGTAACGCCACGTACTCCTGCTTCAGGTACGTTTCAATTACGCCCACTGCAGTCGCTGATGGTAAAGCTAAGTCCCGGTGGCCGTCCAACTCCGAGTCCTCATCCATCGCATAATTACGTCCGTACCCCATCGTATAGTCAGCAACAGCAAGAGCAACCTAATCGAAACAAATTGCGCTTGTACCAAACAAAATCATCTCCAACTGCGCACAAGTCGCCGCTCAAGCGATTACGCCTCGACTCCACGACTTCCGGTAATGATTTGAACGCAGATTCAAATCTTCGCTCTCCAGAAGATGTGGCAGTGCGAGAACTGAGTCGAATGGCCTCAGACATTCGCACAGAGCTGCTCGCTTGCATTACTGCACGTGTTACGGGCTTTTTGCGCGTTCATCGCGAGCAAACTGATCCAACGCGCGATGCTGATGCCGACGCTGTGGCAAAAGCTGTTGGCTCAGACATTCGTCAGAAACTTGCACTTCTACAAGCATCCACTAGTTCAACGGACCCCATGCTCTTAGATGCCGAGACAACGTGCATGTACCGTGTGGAAATTCTCAAATTCATCTCTCGTGAATTGCCACGTGCCGTTCAAGATGCTGTAGACAAACGTTTACCAAGTTCGGAGAGACTGAAACAGCGTTCAGCCAAAGATCGATCCCTACTTGCGTTGCTCGTGCAAAAGGCACAAAAGGCTCTAGAATGCCAAATGCACTCGGAGACTGCTGCAGTGAGTACCGGACGTCGCTGAATTAACAAACATGTTGAAACAGTAACAATAGTCTTTTCGATATCTCCAGAAGAGAAGGTGCATTTGTTATAATAATAATTGGGATAGCGATGTATCATCTTGTAATGCACAGGATACTTCTGACATTGAGACACAAGAGAAAACCTTTGATGTCCAAAATGTTCGAGTTGAAATGGAAGTAGCTTGATCGCCATGTTTGCTGCTTAGTTGCCTTACCAGTGCGTAGCAGCTGAGCGACGTGAGATGCGTCTGCAATTCGTCGCGCGACAAGCGTGGAATCCACGATGTTTGTGGCTGTTTACGCAAACGTTCGAGTTCTTCACTTACGTGATTCATATCACACTTCCGAAAAGATTTCTTCTTATTGCTTGTGTCGCGACAGGGAGCAAGTGTTGTGATCACATAAAGAAGCAATTTGGCTTGTCGAGGCAGCCGCTTGATTTGGCTAATACTTGGAGATGATAACATTGTTGTTGCACACTGAAAAACGTCCCGAATCATAATTTTCACTTGGGTGTCAATTGGTGATTCCTTCTTTTGACTATTATAGCGCTGAAGCGCATAACGAGCGGACTGCTGAAGCAAGCTGATGGCTAGTCGAGCATCACCCTCGCGAGCTGCTACTTTCCTCGCAATGAGCTCCATCGCACGTGTCTCAATATACGTTGTCACTTCTGTAGTTTTCGCGCTAGTCGACAAAGTACTTTGAACGTAATTAAGCAGAATCACCTTCAATTCCTCATGTGTATACGAGCTAAAAACGACGCGAGGCACTTGTGAGTCAGCATTCGAACCTGTCACGTGTATACGAGATACATGCTCATACATGTCGACACCATTCATGATACACAAGAATTTAACAAGATGAGGCGCGATAGCAGCCCAGCGAACGAAAAAACGAAGCAATTCTTTCACTTTCGGCTGCATACGTACAGGTAGACGCAATAGATGATCTACTTCGTCTAGCACAATTGCAATTGAGTCTCTTGGTCCATTAATATCACAATTAAGTGCTTTGATAAAATTGTCCATCGTAAACGGATCCAGTTGACCAGGCACAATCCACCTTGTTGATGACTTCACCAGTTGCTCAATTACAGCGTACAGAGCTGCAGGATCTGTATACGTGCTACAGTTGAGCTTCACTGCAATTTTATTGCTTGTTTCAACAAAATTTCGCTCTTTTATCGAGCAAGGTGCCACAGATTCGAAACCTTCCTTAATCAGTAGTTCATTTACTGATGAGCTCTTGCCAGTTCCCGGAGGTCCAATAATGAAAAGACTGGACCCATGCTTTGCATTATTTCTCAGCACATTCCGAATACTTTGATGCTCTTTCAGCCGTCCAACGATCGCATTGGCACCACATGCCATTTGTTGTGAACAAAGTCGTTGTAAGATCGTCTGAGGAGCATCAACAGGGTCCAATTTAGCGGGTTTTGTATACTCAAGCGTCCTGCATAACTTTCGTTGCTTATTATCGCCTTTTTTAAGTTTGTTGGGTCCGCGTGAGGTCTTCACAGCACTAAGCGAGGGAATTTTAGACTTAGGGACGTGTGGAGTTAGCAGCAGAGGGGACGTCGAAACATCGTCAAGCTTCCGTTTCTTCAACGCAGGTGGACTATGCGATGTAGAGATATTGACTGTAGCCACCTCCAGCGCACGCAGACGACGTTTTAATTGCTGCGCTAATTCGGGCATAGATTCGCGCTTTTGGGCTCGTGTACGCATTGTTGATTAACGAAAGAGGCGGGCTTTAGGATAGAAATGCAGTCAAAGGCGCCAGTCAAAATGGCGCGAAATCATTTTGACGAATGACATTGCAGTATGCACTTTTAATGATTTACGCGTCAATCAGAAAAAATAAAAGCCGAATCTGTCTTATTTTAAAAAATTACTATACAAACATAAATTTCCTCAAGATAATATTTATGGAGACTTCAAGTTATCAACAAATTTCATACATGATTGTATTACGGCTTCGTCTCTAAGCAACGAAAGTCCTGCTTGCCATATTTGCAATACGGACAATGTACATTTGGTGTGTAATCTAATGAGTGTTGATCTTCCTCAGTGAGTGGACTGCGACAATTAAAGCAGGAGATGACCGCTGCCTCGGTAAGATCTGGCTTTAATGCCACACGGTCATCAAATATGTAACAATCACCTTTATAATGCGCACCCCCCACTTTTTCAAAATATTTCAGAATACCACCATCCAATTGATAAACCTGTGTGTGGCCCTCTTTCAGCAATGCATACGATGCCTTTTCACAACGCACGCCACCAGTGCAGAACATGACAATAGTTTTGTCTTTAGGTACCTGCTGTAGCTGCGTCCTTGCTTCATGAGGGAATGCGCGAAAGCTCTTGATATTTAGGTCCAAAGCGTTTTCAAAAGTGCCCAACCTCACTTCGTAGTCGTTCCTGTATGAAACAGTCCATCGTCAGACTTTTCCCAAATTACGGTTGTTGCTGTTACCCCACCTTGTATCTAATACCACCATGTCTTTACCGTTATCCATCCACGTTTTGAACTCTTCAGCCGAGACATGTGCTGCCAATCCGTCGACAGCAGGATTTACTTCATCCATACCCATAGAAATCACCTCCTTTTTGATCCTCACCAGCATCTTTGGCAACGTCATACGATCAGAAAAGGAGTCTTTGAAATCCAAACCTTTCATATCTGGGTGCAGATTCGCGATGACCACCTTCATGGCCTCGACAGCTCCTGACGTCCCCGATAGACGAATGTTCACACCTTCAGTAGATAATAAAATTGTTCCACGCAGCTTCATTTCTGTATAGTGGCCTGCAACTTGTAAAAGCTGTTGCTTGAGCATAGGCAGCTGATCCGAAGCGAGTGTACAAAATCCATAGGCCGACGCGTTCACATATGCATACTTTGACTGTTCTGCCATCCTTTCACGAATACTGTACAAAGTACCGGTACTACATGCTCGAAGTCTCATTCAGTATGATAAAGTAATATGATATTTATCCCTTTTAATAATAATAATTGTTGTTACTTTATTCATGATATACTTCACATAGACACAATCCGAATCATGGAACCTACAACTGTACAGACGCGACGGTCGGACGCTGACTATGTGCCCACGCACTTGCGGCAGTATGTGTTCCATTCGCAAGATGATTTTTACGTCTCTCGTCACTTCGATCCGTTGCTAGTGAGTCACCTCATGTACGAAGGTTTCGTGCCGATTGCCTCGGAATTTCAAGACACTTGCTTCTTGTTGCCCAAGCTGCACCTTCAGCGCTGCGTGCTGCTATACAAGCCAAGTACACCCGCACACGTACCAAAGATCGTTCAAAAGCGCTCAAAGAAATATAAATTTATACTCAATCGAGACTTTGATGGTGTCGTAGCAGGCTGTCACGAGAAACATGGTATTCCGTGGTTATACCCACCAATTGTGAAGAGTTTTAAAACCTTATTCCAGGCCGGAGATGATGGCATAGAACTTTATCCTGGCAGTAAAGTTCGCTTTTTTACAGTAGAGCTTTATGATGTCATTACGGACTCGCTAGTTGCTGGAGAGCTTGGATATACTGTCGGCAGCGTCTATACGAGTTTAACAGGCTTTAGTCGAGAAAATGGTGCAGGAAGTGTTCAGCTTCATGCGCTAAGTAAATTTTTATATTTGGCGGGCTTTAAGATGTGGGATTTAGGCATGTCCATGGATTATAAACTGGGACTAGGGGCTATAAATTTGGAACGAAACGAGTTCTTAAACGAACTGTACAAACTGCGTCCGCAAGAAGTGCTGATGAAACTGGATGAGAGCAAAAATGAAGGTGATGTATGCAAGGGTGTGTTAGTAAGAGCTCTTTTCGACAATCACCGACTTCCAAATGGATGTGTTAAACTGGATGGAAAAGAGCAATTGGCTAAAGAGGCTTCCAAGAACGCTAAAGAAGATTCAGAGTGATAAATTGCGTCAAGGTAGCGCAAATCGAAAGGTATTATCTGATGCGCTAAAAGTTGTGGTGAAGGGCAAGTCTGAAGTAAGCGTAAGCCAACAAGAAATCGATTCTAATGGCTGCAACGCTTGCTCACAATGAATTGCTGCTGTCGTGATTGTATGATAGGAAAATTTCGAGCTTTGATTATCTACGCGAAAAACAATTGTTTGCAATTTTCACAGACAATTGTCATTTTGTGAGATAATCAAACATCATGCGTTGGCTCAGATTATAGCACTCTTTTGTACATTGCGGAGGAATTTACAACCTGCTGCAGTAGCAGGACTGAAGATTATGTTGTCACTGTTAATGGTTCCTAATCCGACAATCAAAGAGCAACGTGGTCACAGAAAACCCGCCTCGGATAAACTGTTGACAAACAAGATACTTTCTTGCGTATTAGCGTTACGTGCCAGTTGATACAGAACCGAGCTGTCTTTTCTGATACTGAGTTTACAAACAGAATCACGGCACTATTAGTGCTTATCAGGTGACAAATTAAAATGTTTGAGAAACTTACGTGTCAATTCGATGTCGAATATGGATTTGATTTTTTTTGTCGTGCCGCAAAATGCCACGTCCTTTTCTCGAAACACCACTCATCCCATTGCCACTGCCATTTGCCCCAGTGTTGGGTGGCACATAGTTGAAATTCTGTACATCAATCGCATCACTGATCACTCGGTAGATTTTGCGAAATTTATGCCAATTAACAAGTCCGTCTTCCACCGATTTCATCGCTTCCTCATACGTAAACAGATCCTTGACTAGAATAAACCAGCACGCAAGGCGCGGCTGTCCTTCAGCCAATCCAAACGCTTGACGATAGCTGCGGTAGTTCTCATCAGGTGAGCATAATTGCTGGAGACACTGATACTTCTCCGATGCAGCTGCACTCACCAAACTCCACGTTGTGTTTAGCTGCCGAATGCAAGGAGCTGAGAGTCCTGTGGAGATCTCAAAAAGGGAATTAAAGTTATTCATTTGGTAGCAATGGTCGGCGGTATCAATGAACAGTGTGATCATCTTAGCACGTTCCACAGCTTGTAATTGCGGGTGCAGAATCTCGCTCGACACCCATTCAGCTATAGCGTCAAATAATTCGATCAAAGCCATGACATGTGGGGCATCGCGGTGTTTGTTTTCACGTGTCCACGCTTTGTTTGTAAGTTCACGAGGGTTCAGCTTGGCGAAGTACTGCTCTGCCTCGATGAGCGTCAGCTGATCAGCCAGCTCTTGAGCAGTCAATCCGGTTAAAGGCTCGACATTGCCATAACTGATCCGAGCACTTTTGCGAGATGTTGCGGTTAGTCGAGCACGTTGCAGTGTATCCTTGATAAGCTCATCAAAGCCATTGGCAATGTTGCCACTGCCATTCGCTCTGTTCATAGTTTCACTGCTGCCATTCGTTTTATTCACAGCTTCAGTATTGCCAGTGGCTCTATTAACAGCCTCAGCACTTCCAGTCGTGATACCTCGCGCAATCTTGGGAGCCACAGCTGCGGCGATAGGCACAGCGCCAGAGCGGACTGCCCGATCTCGTGAAGCTGCTGCTGCCACAGCTGAGTCGTCTATACCATTGGGAACTGACCGACTTCGAATCTGAATAATGTCTACATGAGGGTTCTTGGAGCGAAGTTTTACCATCGACCGCTCACGCTTCGGGTCTGAAGACGACCGTGGCAACGCTAACTTTGTACAAATTCGGGAAGATACTTCTCCATGGTCATTATGGCGTTCGATAACTGATGCTGCAGCGCTCAAAGGGTCGTCAACTGCTGGCCTTGAACCTGCTCGATCTGGTATCGACGAAACCGAAGAAGAAGTCACCAACATCAGAGGTGTAGATACTTTAGCTGGGCCTCTCTGCGACTGAGCCTTTGCTTGCGCTTGAGTATGCGCTTGGGTAATTTGGGCTTGTTGTGCTTGCTGTTTTAAAGTTGACAATACCTGTGCAACAGTCAGCAGCAAAGTTTCCGCGTGTCGGCGAACGGAAGGAATCGGTGACGATTTCTCAATCTCTTTTAACAATGCTATAAGTTTCTTTTGTGCCTTGCGATCATTAGCAAGATCCTGCTCAATAAATGTGCTTTCTTTGATCCAAAATTTAAGAACACTTAGGAGTCGCATTATCGAGACATTAGCTTCCATACCCGTATTAATATCGGACTTGGCAGTCGAGACGGACGTCACGTTGGATGACCGTTGCTCGTTTTCCTCTTCAAGAGTTATCTGATCAAGCAGTCGCTGTATTTCTTCAAGACGTTCGGCATCAATATTTCCACAAAGTGACAAAACAGCGGTGTAGCGTTTTAGCAACTTTTTGATAAAATCATAAGGGGAACAGAACGAGCGATATGTTAAAAGGAACACATCTCGAAATTCGGTATCAAATTGATGAGCATCCGTGAGATGTGCAATGAGTTTACCGAGTGATGCATGCGAGATCTCTCGTTTTCCGCCCATGCCGCGGGCCGAGCTTTCATAGCGGATACGCACAGGACGAGGCTTGGATATTTTCTCGTCTGAGGAATTTTTGTCACGATGAGGAATTTTACGAGCCAGTGCACGCGGAGTAGTTGGACCCATCTGTTCGTCTGAAGACAGTGATAGAGGTGGTGGAGGTGACGGTGGTGGTAATCCTCCTATTGTTCGTGGTGACACTGGTTGTTTTGAGCCCCGTGATGAGCTTCGTGTTCGTATTTTCACTTTTATTGACGTTTTGTCATTTCCGCGTGTCCGTCTAGTAGCCACGATCTCATCCGGTGGTGGAGGACTCTCTAAAAGCTGGTGACTGCAACAGTTACTATACAATCGTCTTGATGACGATGGCTCTCTTCTAGCTCGTTCATCATCTGTGCCTCCAGAAATCGACCTCTGCAATCGATGCTGCCATTTTTCCAAGGTGCTTGTAGATCGTTGTATACTCGCAGACAAGCCATGGGTAAGTGGACTACTCGATTTCCATCTTGGGCTACTTGTAGCACTAGCCTTATCCACACTTCGACAAAATTGTTGATTAGGAGACAAAGGTATCGTTGCGAGTCCCACCGATGTCCGACGTGCTGCACTGCTGCTTGCAGGTGCTGTAGCTCGTCGCTTCACGACCATTCTCGAGGGTTTAATAGTTACAGGTTCTTGTCTCTGCTGTTCTGTAACCGTATTTTCCTCCTTATCACTAGCTTGTCCACCTGATGATGAGCACGAATCGTGCTCAGATGCAGGAAGCGGTGACACTAATAAGTTAAGACCAGAATCACTAGATACCTGACCATCGCCAGCATGGGCATCTCTTGATGGTTGACGTCGGTGACGACTATGACTGGCTTGATAAGACGGAGACCGTCTGTCGTTCTTTGAATCATTTACTGGCTGATTATGGGATGTATGGTGACGAGCACGTCTAAAGGTATTAGGTACAGCAGCGGATGAAATGTCTAATGACAGCGAGGTGGTCGATGAAGACGTTGACGTGACAGTGGAATCTCCTGTGCACTTTCGATCCCGTTGTCTTCTAGATTGAGCGTCAATTGCAGCAACTGATGATGACAACGACGAGCTTTTGACACTTGTAGTACTAGCTTCAGCTTTAATGCTGCTGTTGCTGACACTGGCGTCGGAGGGCAGCAAATTGCGCGCCACAAGCAAAGGCGCTCGATCTGTAGCAACTGTGACCGCTGCCGGGTGGTTATGTGCCATCAAATATTACCTGATGGAAGTGATAGAGGTTATGTTATGTATAGACGTATAAAGTGTAAGCGGGAGAGCGCAGTGACGTTGTCTTCGCGGCAATTGCGGGGAACTCTGTCTCTCGTCCGAAAGAATGTGAATGTCCGATTTTTGCTCATACAAAAGTGCAGATTTACGATTGGATCATAATAGAAGATAATCGTCGTATGGTGAGTACAGGGTACACTGAGGTACTCTCAGCGGACGATGGCGTACGAAATTTGTCTTTTTACTTCTATACATTGAGCAAGAGCATGACCGAGGAGGCAACATATGCACTTAGAGTCGTGCATGGTGAGAAAGGGTTGAAATCACTGACGTAGAGGGTCCTTGGAACGATAGTACGTTTTGACACGAAAAGCCATGTCAAAACGTACTATCAATTCTCTAATTGCATCACCACTTAGCAGTTAAAATTCAAAAAGCTCGGAGACTCATTCAAATCTCGAAATATATAGCAATGCCCTGACATGTATGCAAAGTTTATCATAAGTAGCCTACCCAGAGGCATGTGCATTCCCGTTAAGTGCAATCACTATCGTTGTGATGCCGCCGAGGATGTAGATCTAAATCTCCACACGAAGGAATTTGCTATAGTTGTCAACAAGATCGCTATTTGTCAAGGGGATGACTAGCGATCTTGCACGATCTCTAAACTATATATTATTTTCAATAATGGGATATCGAAACTATGCCACTATGCTTGTTGTCATCGATTTTAACTCAATGCTCTCACTTTCCTGATACATAAAGTGAAGTAGAACAACCATAAAATGCGTTGAGTTTGTACTGCATCCTTAGCGATCGGTATCAATCAGATTCTAAAAGAATTACTAGATATGCGCTATATGTCGAAACTCGCGCAGAGTTCATTAGATAGCCATAAAAATACGTGGCTGGAAGAACCAAACAAGCACTACACTTGCTCTCGCAATCGAAAAGAAAGATGACATCACTCATTCAGTCTGGAGTACCCATATAGACCATCATCCGCTCAAGCAGCGTGTAAAATAGCATCTGGAGTACCCCTAACAGCCGTTATAAGTGACGCAATGAGTAGATCAGCTTGATAGTACAAGAAACGCGACAGTCCGGATTTGATAGTATCGCTCATATCAAAAGGCGACCAGAAATTTATATTAATGCTAACAAAAGATAATTCTAATACAACTTTTCACTGCTTACATTAGCGCTGTTGCATCTGATCGATTAGATTGATGGCGAGCTTCGCAGCTGGTTCAGGTAAAAGCTGGGGGATAAGCGGCTCTATTTTAGTTATTTTAAGATCACGCTGATCACATGAAGCAAAAGTAAACATTAGGATCAAATTCGACGCGACACAATTTTTAAGCACATAATGACCTGAAAATGCTTGCTCTTCTTGGGCGCTGGGCGCTGAAAGGAAAATGACACGTGTAATCCCACAAGCAGCTCCTTAAGCACTTGAGGCAAGGTCGGGTACTTGAACAAGAGATTGCTCTTCATATTTAAGGCTGAGACGCCTAGCAGCGCTTCTGCCACTTCGTCAAACAGCATCGCGTCAACTACTTTTGATCCGGACACAAGTCGCAGCTAGCAGCACAGGATGCTCGTTAAGTGAGGAAACAATTCACGCTTTTTATGACGCACTTGTAATCGATACTTGAATTGCAGTTGGTTTTGAGAACAAGTTAGGCCACAAGACGCGCAATGTACAGGAAGCTCCATTCCTGTGTTAGAAACGAATTGGTCTTTCATGGAAATGTAACATCGAGGACACGCTGTGTAGCTGCAATAAATACGTTGGACTTTACTAATTTTTATTAAGATACTACGCAAATTAACACAGCACTTTACATCATGTCATCAAGCGACGCTTTCGTAATGACTCCACCCGGTACGAACTCGGTCGCCATTTTAATTCTTGGACAGCATCACTTTTTTATCGCATGATAATTTGAAATAAGAGGATTTGCATTTGACAAAAGTTGTCCACTCCAAACAGCTTGGCACCAAAATGAAATAGGTACAAATACCAATCTACCGGTAAATGGGTAACGTACTCAAAGGGTTTCAAGAAAAACAGTTCAAGCCAAAAAATGATGGAGATGCAGGCGCTACGGAGTCAATTCGCTTGATTTGGAAGCAGCGGTGAATCACCGAGAGCTAGACATGTATTGTAACATGTACAAGTAGCTTACGCATTTGTACAATTGTGCACAATGCAATATTACCCGGTAATTGACAGCTTGCGTTGAGCCTTTGTGTTTTTTTTAAATTGGTATTTTTGATCGTGATTAGAATCCGTAACGCAAAGGTTTGTGGAGCACGTGAACTGGTCAAAAAATGCAGACGCTTCCAGCAATAAAATGTTGTGAATTTATTCAGTGTTAGAGGTTTTCATACCGCTCCCGGATAATGTGTACGAATTCAATTTCTGTGCGATGTACACGGCTACCGCATTGCATTTGATAACACTTATAGTCATTCCTACAACCACATCGCAGAAGAATGTTGCTTTTGTGAGCATGTAATACAAGCAATTCGAATATTTGCCTTCGGGACAACTACCTTTTTTGAGAGAATCAAGTAATTGCTGGTGCCGGGCCATATGCAGTAGCCGTTTGTCCGATTGTTTTTGCCCAGGAAGCAGACCCTCAACCAGGCGCCGATAGCACCCAACGTGAGGTCGCTGTTTTTATCAGTGTTCTCGTCATTGAGATCAGTCACAAAATAAAATATTTAATGTCTGAGGAGATTTGGATGACCATGAACTCGTTAATGCCCTAAATGAGGCAAAAGCACGTCACATTTGCAAATTTCAAAGTGATTTAATGTACGCACGAAAACTTCATCGCGGCGATTCCAGCGTGAACGGATTCAAGGCGACAAGTTTTGCGGGTGTGCACATCTCCTAGCCATCCATATCGAGTGTATTCTTGACATTGTTCATGTTTCGAAGGACACCATAACTAGAAAACTATGCCTGGGAATTTAGAGTTCTTCTTTCGCAATGGAATCAGACTCTCATACCCGGGGCGGCTATAGTTTTATCTTCACAATCTTGGGACAAGTGTAATGCACAACAAAGCTGTAACAAGAATCGCCCGTCCGTGAACACTTACATCCTAAGAAAGGCTAAGGTCAACTGACACGCCTCAACGCGTCCTGCTCCCTTTCAGCAGGACGTTGACGTACGTAAAGAAGAGGAGAGATGAAGTGAAGTTTATTCTTGTAGCCAATAGGCTGTTGACCTCCCTGACCTGATAAGTATTCTGAGACAACAGAACTGAAAGGGGATATACAACTATACAGGGTGTACAGTTAATGTTATACACGCAAAGTATGTTGTACACTGCCCATAACGCAAAAGTGAATTTTCCCAAATTTGATAAATATTTTTCAAATCTTTTTCCTATTCTATTTTCGTGCTTTACATCACACTGTCAACCACAATCCACACGCTTGCTCTACATGAGATCTCCGTCACCATCGAACTTGAATCTCCATTTCAACGCCACGTCATTCAACGCATTTGCGCTATCGCGAACTTGAACATCACGACGACGTTTACGAAAGATATGGTAGATCCACCTTTGCGTTTGGCGAACTCCGCAGTCAAATGTGGAGGTCGACCGATGACGCAAGTCGCGTATTATTGCACCATGGGGTCGATTATTCGTGCTGAAGGTGAGCCCCGAAGCCTCACGTATGTTCCAAACGTCCAGCAATCCACTCTGAATTTTATCCAGACAACCGACGCTGGATTCTGGGCATGGGTCCATGCGTCCAAATCCATGGACATCCTCCGTTACCAAAACGCAAGCACCGCTGCTGACATGTTGAAGATGCGCGATATGCGTTAACGATTTTTGCATTTGACAATGCAGAATCGGGTCCACTCCAATATCGAGGAAGCTCGCGAAGTGCGCTCGGTCACCAGCCAACTTCACGATGAGAGGATAGGGGGAGAAGAGTGAGGGGCAGATTCCCTAAGCGGATACCGTCTTTGGACTTGTATCAAACGCACGAACGATGCTGTAACAGTCGCGACGAATACGCGTTCGAGGCTCCCATGTCTTCTCGCTCGCCGGGTAACCCAGCCATTTCACAAAGGAGCTGCTTCCGATCACGGACGTTTTCTCCGCCACCACATTCTCAACATGGTAGTATCGAATTTCTTGCTCACTGAGAAGAGGGGGAAGATGGCCGGAGTGGTTGCTTCGTCTGTGACTGATCCACAGCCTTCGTCCGGCTTGTAACTGACTTTGACGAAGGTCGAGAAGCTTCCGCCGCTGATGGACGAGCGGCTGATCGAGTTGACCGATCGTGTCGTCGATTAGCTAATGCGTGTAGGATAACCGACAGATTCTTCGCGATGTCGCGACTTCCCATGGCGTCATGGAAATTAGCCTGAGGACGCAATCGTGGGTCGTACCCACCGATTGGAGCAGGATCTTCATGCTCTTCCGCCTGTTGCGGCTGCTTCGGCTGATAATGCAGGGCCTCCTGCCATACAATCTATCTCTGTTTCGGGCGTTCCCAACTAGTCCCGTCATCTCGAAGGCTATGCAGAGGCGACGACGCCAAGGGGGGCTCAACATTCGACCCTCGTGTCGAAGCCGTGGGTCTAAAGCCACATCTGAATGAGTTTGTGGTACATTCAGGCTGGAAATCGCGTCGTCGCGATGGTAGCGCTTGAGGAGCGTCAGATGGTTTTTAGCCAGCTTGGCAAGGCAATAGTACAGGCATTCCCATTCAATGACACTATCCGGAATGGGCCGATGAAGCGAGGTAAAAAGTTCGAGTTTCCAAGCTTGAGACTGCGTCGTCTGATAGGATCTTAGTATTATGTAGCACATAATCCTCCACAATACACTTTGTCGTGACGACCTGGTCTATCTGCGTATTTCGTTTGCAGATCTTGCGCATTCACCATTGCTTCTCGCACCCGTGTGATCACATTCACACGACTCATGATGAATGAGTTCAGGGCGTCCTTGGATTTGCGCTTCACATGCGCATCATAGATTGTATAAATTTGGGGTTCGGCGAGCTCCTTCCCCGCTTATATAAAGGTACACTACCCATCGCACAAAGCGGTAATTGCGGGTGTCGCAAGTCATAGATGAAAATTGGCTTAAATTTGGCGAATAGATATATTGAATAAATGGTAGTGCCAAACTCATTCCGCGAGTTTTCCGCACAGAAACTTCTCAACATATCACCGATCACTCGGTTGGTATGCTTTGTTTGCCCATCGGTCTCCGGGTAGACTGCTGTGGACATATCCAAGCGAGTGCTTAGGAATTGGATTTTTTCAAAACGCCACTCGTGAATCGTGATTCACGAGCAGAGACGATGGCGTCTGGTAACCCATTATTGCGAAACACATGATGAATTAACCATCCATCCAAACATTCGGCATCGATGAATTCACTCGATGAATTCACTACACTGAGCGATGCGAACCATCTAGCTGAGTCTGTCAACATAGTCGAGCAACACATTGTGGTCGTCGGCATTTTAGTGGAAGCCGAAAATAGAGCCGAGACCGGTTGACTTCCAACAGTCAGTAGGAAAGTTGAAGATTGTGCAGTGGCAGTTGCGTGAGCCTTGTGCTCTTCACGCGCTGACAGACATCGCATGTCTTCACGTATCGTACCACCCACTTGTACACCAAAATTGGGCACTGAGAGATCGGAATGCCTTCTCACGGCCAAAGTGACCGACCAATGGCGTATAATGCGCCTCGTACACTCCAAATCATCGTTGTGGGAAACCACAATTTGTGGCTCGTCATAACGTGCAACTTCATTATGAAGGAGACCATCCTTCCACGCATAGCGATGCAACCTTGATCTCAAGCAACCAGGAAGCCTGTCATGGTATTTCATATCACTCAATAACAAAGCTTTGATGATCGTATCACATGTATTGTGTTCGACTGAGAGCCGATCTTTACGGTAAAGATTAATCAAACTTAGTCTTAGTACACATTGCATAGCACCAGGTTGAACATGTCTTGTGTTCATCCGCAAGCAGGTGGTCAAGCAGAACACATTTTTCTATCGTGTGGTATTGAATAAATTTCAAAGTACTAAAGCATAGCAAATGTTCATCATCAACATACGCTCGGTGTATCATATCCTTTCGAAAAAAAACAGCTCAGAATCGGGTCAACGCAACAATGCGTCTGCCAGCACGTTCAGTTTACCTGGTTTGTACGCGACCGTGAAGTTGTATTCTGCGAAGAACGACAATTAGCGAGCCATTCGCTGTGACGAGTGAGGTGACTGAACTGCATAACGCAAGCGTGATCCGTGTAGACGACAATCGGAATTGAACCCAAGAGGCGAACACGACACTTTACCAGTAGATTTTTTATTGCAAAAGCTCACTGTCATGAAAAGTGTGGTTCTTTTCTGCTAGCCTCAGCTGTCGCGATTGAAATGGCACAACACGATCGTGTGCTTCTGAGCCATTTTGCAATAATGCACAACCGATGGAAACGCAGAAGCGTAACGCACTACGCTATGCGGGCTTGTATCATCTAGTAAAGCAATCCATGGTGCTTCTAATAAGCTGTTCTTGAATCGGGTGAATGTTTCTTCACATGTTGATGACGTATGTACTTCGTCAGCAAGTTTGATAGCGGGTGTACCAGATCCGCGTAATTACGCGAGAAGTGATTCAGGTAATTGGAAAAACTAATCCGTTTCCTCAAATTCCTATAATTTGTAGCACCGACCGCTCCATGATTGCTTTGACCTCCTCAGAGTCTGCACGAACACCGTGTTTACAAACATAACAACCGAGAACCGGCACTTCGTAAGCACCAAAAAATACACTTTGAAAGATTCGCTTACAACCAATGTTCTGCGCGTATATTCCAGCAGCGCACGGAGGTGCACCAAGTGCACTCCTTCGGCACATATTCCACCTTCGTCCTTTAAATGGACAAAAATATCTTCAAGGTATTTGAAAAAAGCGTTGCAGTGGTTAAAATAGATGTGAGACCGATCGATTGAGCTTTGCTGGGAGATTGGATAGTCCCTGTAGCATCACAAACCACTCCCATAGCAGTACTAGCAGCCATCAAAGGAACACCCTCCTTCCTAATTAAGGTTTTGTATTATCATTGGACAAATCAAAATCACGGAACTGCTTACAGCCAGACGTTCGGTAAATGATGTCATCCTCACGTTGAATCGGCGTTTGCGCAGGAACTGTTACATTACTAACTTGTTATAGGCGTGTACAATACGTCAATTACCATTTGGTTTACGCTTACAAAACGTCAGTGCGCTGTGAAGGGGCTTGTTCCCCCTCATCAACGCTACAGCTTGCTTTTGAGTAAAGAACTTATCAATTTATTCATTTGTTTCCTCGACAATGGCCACTATCGATTCACTGCAGGCTTTAAACCAGGTTCACGATCAATTTGTTTCGAACCCCACGTGCGGGTGGAGGACCGGTAGGCGGGTTCGCACTAAGGATGTCATACTTGTATTCCAAAACAAGCGAGTAATAAGAATCAGTTTTGATTCCTATGATCCAGCCGATACTTCACACGCTGGCAAAATTTCTGGAAAACCGAAGCATCCATATCCAATGATAAGCGTAGCCCTGCTGAGTCGACCTTTGCAATGCCATCACGCTTGAAGTCGCGTAAGAAGTCATCGTTAATAACTTTCTCAAGGTGCAATAGCTCTTCCATCGTCGGCATCGGTCCCGAAAGACATATGTTTTTGAAACCTCACGCCCAGTCGTTGAATCCAGAATTCGTGGCCCAGCATATTCGCATGCTGAATTTTAATCACGGAAAGAAACACGCACGACCAGCTTAACCGCGGACTCAACCGCATCTAAAGCAGAAGTATCAACACCGCAATCAGCAACGGGTGGTAGCGTCACCTTTGGGGTCAGTTGTACCCACTGAACCACAATCCAACGCCACCACTGTATTAGCGGAAGTATTAGCCTATCCAACCACAGTCGATTCCTTCGACTTTTTATTACACACTTTTGGCAATATTCTTCTGTCTTGAGGGGGGCGACAACCGGCATCTCTCTGTCACGAATTTCAAATGGACAAATTGCCATGCCCGCAAACGATTTCTTCGTTTTCAAGTTACTAGTTCCTGACATCTCTTGATCCATCCACACACTTCCTGAGTGGATACTCGCGGCCACTCCATACGACTTCGTATTTTCCCTGACCTGGGGAATGACATATACAATTTTAGTGTGGATCATTTCTAGCAGCATACGACTGCCTAGCGCTAAGCGCTTCTTCTGGCGCATAGTGAAATTAGGTTCATTGCTCCCACGAATGTCACTTACGCAAAGAAAGCTACTCCCAATCGCTTTTGATCGCCAATCCATCCATGGATCGCGCTTTTCAAGCTACAGTATACCCAAAATCCGGTCATACCGTTTGTCCATCTCAAGGATTGTAAATACTTTCTTACAATTAAAGTCTTCAAACTTCACATGATGATTTTTCGTCGCGGTTACCACTGCATCAGGGGCCGACTTCACTGAGATAAAGCTGTTGCTTCTATTCAATGCATTTAAAAGCACTGAAATGTTTCCAGCGTTACTTTGCTACGCGCGTATTTACGCGCTTCGCATGAGTCAATCAATACTTTAAACGGACGACCGTAACCTTCACACATGCTGCGACCATGCTAAGACTACTCAGTCATTAACGAAGGACATTGATTTAAAGGGCTAAACCCTCGTGAGTGATTCTACCACCTCACTGGCAAGAATTTTTAAATGCCTCAGAAGACGTAGGGCGGTCTACTAGGTACCGGCGTTTCCCGAACGCCTCGTGGTACTTGCACCATATGACTCGAGACCAATTCGACGAGCACCGTATTGAGAGTTTCGTCTCCCACGTGGACAATTGCTGACATCCGTAATAGCAAACTTTCTGTCTACGGACAGTCGCCGCGCTAGCGTCAATTGATTCCAAATTTGTGGTAGCAGCAGTCACTGCTTCAATCGGGCTGACATGTTTGACGCTGACAATAGTCTTTACGCAACGGACCCGTAATTGCATATTCCAGGGTCGTGGGGCTGGCTGACGAATTCAGTCTTAGGAGGACCAAAAGTAAACCCTTTCATTAGCACAGTGAACAGCACTGCCTCCTGAAGTGGTTTGCTTGCTATACTGGCACGAAGATCACGTAGGTTCTGAGCATAGTCGAACAATGTACTGGCGTCTTGAATTACCTCGTGAAGAGTAATGGAGGTGTATAAAGATAATCTCAGATTGGATAATAATATCAATTGTGGGCACATGCAAAAACCGATCGTTGTCAAATTGCCACATTTGGCGGAAGGAACATCGAATATATGGCTCAAATCAACTCTTGACATGTGGCAAAGTAGCCGCGGCAGTTTTCTTCCCATGTCATCGCCCATCCTTTACACGGCCATCCAAATGCGACAAGGCAAAGGCCACTTGACTACAGCCATCACAAATTTGAGCCATCGTGATAGCGATGTCCATTTTCGCTGCCAGAACGCAAACTTTTCATTTTTGTTCCTGTGAAGCTTTCACCTTCATTTTCACGTTTTTTTGGGACGTTTCGTGTGTTTGGACTGGAGCCGGGCTGCCGTAGCTTTGCGCTTTGAGGAAGCGTAAGTTAGGTCACCGACCTCTCGTTC